TGAACCAGTAAAAAAACTGTGGTTCTTCCATCCACCCATTAGAAGAAGCTGCATATCGGGTTCCAGGATAAGATTCAGCAGATGTCCATCGCGCCTGCACAGCAGCCCCCTTGAAAACGATTAACGGTGGAAGAAAAAAGCCATCAGCTGATACGCAAATCAGAACGGTTGTTGATTCACGTCCGGATCCTCCTGATATTCTACACAGGGCCTTGCCTTTTTCCCCGAGTGCTCTTAGTCGGCTGGGATCATTGGCAAAACCACTTTCGTCGCAATTAAAAACAAATTTAGCATTATCCGCTCCCTTCAGATCATGCTTGTTGTAAACTTCCTCTAATTTTGAATAAAAATCATAAACTATTGCTGGGTCACGAGCCGTTTTTCGGCATTTTTGTAGATGTTCAGGCTTCTTTAAGCTAATATTACTATTTCTCCTCATGAAACTTTGGTACCAGTCCTCACCTGGTAAACTATTATGAAATGGATTCGGTATATCATTTGCTTTTACATATTCAGACACCAATTTCTTTAGTTCTTCCTTATCACAAGGAAAGCCAATTTGTGCCCGAGCTATTAAGCATGTCGCAATTTGCTTTTCAATATCGGGATTAAGTACTGGTGGGCGACCTGCACCCATTCTATCTAAGGAAACTTTTCGGCCCTTCATTCGATGATATATAACCGAAATAGGAACCCCATATTTATCTTGTGCTTGGCGATATGTGGCATTGCCATTTTGAATATCATTTACAGCATGCTCGATATCTGCTACAGAATAATTAGGTGGCTGTCTTTTTTTTATATATGTTCTAGGCATATTGACCTGAAACAATTGCCTATTTAAATAGCTTACAATGCTCAGAACTAGCATGAAAACTAAAAAAAAGTTGAAAAAACAATTAAAAAATGAAAAAATTTAAGTTTACAATTACCCTGTATGTGTTGTTTACCATTACCCCATTACACAAAAATTAGGGGGAAATGTAAACATACCAATATTTTTCCTCCTAACCCATAAATTTTCAATAATATTGATTTTACATGATTCTCAATACATTTAACTATCAAGCGATAATGATACTTTTACTTACCAATGAATGAGTTCAAAGACACAACACTTTTGTTAAATCAACGTAAAACCGAAATTCACTTTGCGAACAGGGTATCGATTCCCGAAGTTAGTCGATATGCTCCGTGATGTGCATGTGATGTGACCGGCTGCCATGACGTCATGATCGTATACGATAGGGATAAGTTCAAGTTTAGCTGCATTCCCGAATCGCGAACAAACTGTATTCGCTAACCAATCACAGACAAGAATTGAACTGTCAGTTGTCAGTTGTGATATTTATTTGTATTGACACACAGCTGTTGTTTTGTTTGAATTTATTTAATCTGATTTTTGCATTATGGACACTAAAAGAAATAGGGCAGTGACTGACGCCCAGAAGGAAATATTAAAAGAGTTTGTCCGACAACATGAACATTTAAGTACGGGCAAATTCAGCGACAAATTTTCATTTAAAGATGCCCAACGTCTTTGGGAGGAAGTTACTCAAAAACTCAATAATGTACCAAATGGGGCAATAAAAGATTGGAAGCAGTGGAGAAAAGTAAGTAACGAAAATATCAACATTAAATGTTTCCTGTAGGTTAAGTAAAATTTTGTTTATTTAACTTATTTTTAGACATGGCAAGATTTAAAAAATAAAGTTAAAAGCAAACTTGCAACGCAAAAAAAACAGATGACAAAAACTGGTGGAGGCGAAACTGAAGTAATTGAGTTTACACAGATAGAGGAAGATATTTTGCAAACGATCCCAAGCACGGCTACAGAAGGCATTCCAGGCAGTATCGAAATAGATACGTCTTTTAATTTTGAGGTGCGTTTATGTATTTAACATATTGTAGTTTAGAAAATATAAGATCAGAAATTATTAATTGTAACACTTAACATTGTTAAATTTATTATCACTGTTTATGGTCCCCAGTTCCTTCAATACTTGCATTAGGATATCAATACATTTCGGTTACAGTATTAAAATAAAGTAACTACACTGAATTAGAACAAGTTAATAGTACCATTAATTTATCATCTAGTCATTATCTTTTAAATACTCCTTTGTTTTAGCTAGCTGAATTGCCGCCAGAGGAAATTTCCTGTGAAGTAGACGTGCCACTTGTTGAGATCACTTATGATGAAGAAAATCAACCCAGTACATCGACTGCTATATACCACCTAAATGAGGTAACTAGTAAATAACAATAATATATTTGTTTTGGGTTTTACCCTCCACATTTATTTCAGGATCATGCTGGTATGGCAAAAGAGCTTCCTTGTCGTCCAAATAAAAACGTAAGAAGATTAAGCAAATCCTCCAAATTGGAAAATTCCTTAAAGGTACAGCAAAATTTAACTGAAAGCTATAAGGAAAATTCCCAAATGTTAGCAGAATATTATAAAGTAAAAATTGATTACTTAAGACACAAAAAAAATTGTGATACAATCCAAACCGAATGTGTTCAAAAAATGTTATCAATTTTGGAGAATTCTCCTGTCCTTACAAAAAAGAATATGTGACTTGTAGGCTGTACGAGATGTGATACTAGCAGACTGTATATTATATATATGATTGTGATAACCATTTTTTTATTAGTGAATGTGTTTTTATGAATTTAACTTTTTTTATGTTCTTGAAAATAAGACTGATACCGTGTTTTATTAGGAAATGATTTTTATGTTTAATAGGTACCTGGACTTTGTTTATACTTATTTTTGTTTTGCTTTTGATTTTTTATCTTAGTTCCTTTATTTATAAGACTGATAGGTAGTTAAATATTTGTTTGTGATTTTATACTTGTTTAGATTTTTGTTTAGACAAATATCTATAAATTATTTTATATAAGCGGATGTTATTTATGTTTTTTAGTGTGCATTTTGGTATTGAAGAATGAACATGGTTTTTTTTATTAAATCTTATTTTTGAACATGTTATTAGTTTATCCTATTCTCTAGAATATTTCAAAAATATAATACTAAAGAAGAGACGTGAAAACAAAGAACTATATTTATTTACCATAAACAAGTTAGTTATTTTCTCTATAAAACTTAGTCATAATTGCTTCCCTAAGGGCTCGACCTGCAACTAAATCTTCATTTATTATGTTTTGATGATCTGCAACGTGTTGACCTCCATGGTCAAAAAGTGCATCATCTTCGTCCAAAACGTTATCCTCTGGTTCTGGTATATTATTTCTTATGCACAAATTGTGTAATGCACAACAAGATAAAATTATTTTATAAGCCCTTTCAGGGGTATAATGCAGTACCCTGTGTTTTAATAGACAACGAAATCTGTTTTTCAGCACACCGTTGCAATGTTCTATTCTTGTTCTTACAGATTTTAATCTTTGATTGAATCTAAATTGCTCCATGTTAGGGTAAACGTCTAAAAACGGTACTTGCAGCCATGGACGTACAGCATAGCCTGAAATTAATAAAATAAAATTTTTAATATCTCAATAATATACCAGAGTCCCCTAGTAGATAAAATGGATCTCCAGGATTCCTCCTATAAATATTTTCCATTATGGTAGAAATTGACGACATCCTCCAAATAAAACTATCGTGGGAGCTTCCTGGGTATCGCGCATCTACATTTAATATTTGGAGATTTTCGTCACATATCTGAAAACAAATTTAAATCGTAGAAAGTTCTTTATTTAATAAGAACTGAAACTTACCAGTTGTGTATTTATGGAATGGTACTGTTTTCGATTGACATACACATGCTCGTCAAACTTAGGAGCTACAATGGCAACATGCGTACAGTCGATTATGCCAACGATGCCAAATATACCACATTTTCTCAGAAACCTTAAACATTATGCTGTTGAATTTGTTCTTTATCTACTCATCTATTATTAGCTATACCTTTGTCTTGCAAGACGTAATTCCGTCATATTTGAGTGGAACTTGATGAAATTTTTTAAAATTTCATTTCTAGTAATGACATCGGTGACATCAACTATCGCTTTGCTCACCGAGCTTTGACTAACAGTGAAACACTCGCTCCTGGCAACATTTTCTTGGTAGCATCCTTGCCCAAGAAAATTCAAAGTGACCAAAATCTAAAAAATGCAATTATCGCCAATTTACATTTCTTATTTAGCATCAATACTTCACCAAACCTTGTCCTTTGGAGAAAGTGCCGAACTTCTTGAAGCCTCTCTTAAGTAGGGTCCAATTAAATTGAGCAATTCCTCAACAAGTTCTTTAGATAATCTAAAATTTTTTTGAAAAATGAAGTCCGAGAAATGCATAGCATCGACTCTGTTAATATGATTATAATGTGGTCGACGACGATTCGCCTCAAACTCAGCGGCTTCATTAACATGGTTAATGACGTTATTAATAACAATAAAATCCTCCAACAATTCCATACCTATTTTATTTTACAGAAAATATATGAATGTATAGGTTATGGCACTGAATAACCTCTATAGCAAAACAGCTACAAGATCCGTCCTGTAGCTGCAACTGCGCATGACATTCACGCAACGAGTGGTCTAGACCAGTCGTTGCGTTCGATCAACTTTTCGCTCGATGTGGTAGGTTCGAGAATGCAGTGACATTCACGTTCACATCAAGGTCAGTCGATGTGAACAAAGCACATCTTCGGGAATCGACGCCCAGGTGGTTTGTAAACTACACTATGAATGGCGTACAAAGAGACTGAACATAGCCGCAAATGCACCAATGGGCAGCAGACATTACAGGAGTACCAGTGTTGTCAATAGCACATAAAAATAATGTGGTTTAACAGAGTTGCCAATGGTGTTTACAATTACCCCTTGTTCACAATTCCCCCACTTGACCCTAAGCATAAAAGTCGTATGTGACAAAATGAGAGTTTCGAGATATTTAATATTTAGTGAAAGTTGCGATGCCATGGAGACTAAAGCACTTAGGTGTAAACTTTTTAATTAAAATTGTCTACATATATCTCCAAATGTTAGTTATCTATGGGTAATGTGTGAAGTTACTACCAAAAGTGACTTTTGCTAGATACGACTTTTATAAGTAGAATTTGGATGATAAAGGTTTAAAAGAACAACACCAAATGTCGTATCTACATACTCTTTAATTATAACATTGCATACCTACACAGATAACATACATGTAAGTGTGCCTACTGCCTAGTTAATCGAAAAATTTAATTTTCGTCACTGTCATGACTTTGTTCGTCCGTGGCAGTTGGAAGATTTTCCCAAAAGTTCCGACGGCTTTCAGGCATGATAGGCACTAATTTTGAAACAATAAGGCATTTTCGATCTTTTGTTATTCCTTTTGGGTTACATTTAGGTTTTGGCTTTGAAATTTCCACTTTCATGCATCGTGCATTAATGAAATTTATTTCTATTCCAGGAGATTCAAATTCCGTTTTGTATATGAGAGTTTTTTTGCCCCTTTCAAAATTTACCTGCACCATATCATGCACGTAAGGCCGCGGTTTAATTTTACCTAACTTATATTGAGATGTTGCGTCTTCCCAGTCATAAAAATTTTCTATTTCCATTTCTATTACTTTTACTTTGTGGGAAGCTTTGCGAACTGCCTCGGAAAAATCCTTAAAATCGTATACCTTACCCATATGTTTGAGGGACTTTTCTACTTGATGGTGGAAAGAGTCAGCAGCCATAAAGGTGTGGCCCGCTTCGAAATATTTTACTTGTAGGGTTTGTAATTCTACTTCTGACAAATTAACCATAAATACAAAAAAGCAAAATAGGGACCAATTTTTGTTTTGGCTGCTGCAATTGTCTAACCACAAAGTAATGTGTTTTACATCTCTAACTGATAATAAAAATGCATAAAATGTACTAATTATGTCTTTAGCAGATCTTCCAGAAATAGCCTCATGCCAAATTACAGCTGTAGGCCCTAGCTGTTGTTTCTTTCCTATGGGAACAAAGCTTTCGTTGAAAGCTACAATCCGTGGCGTAAAAATGACCTCCTTAAACATCTCTAAGCGTGGAAGCATTATGACCTAATAAGTGAAATAAAGTGATGTTAATTGTAAAGTTTGTCTAATGAAATATTACATTTACCTTTTGAAGATCAGCGGAAACTATTAAATGACTGTCATTGGTCTTCTTCTCATCCTCTTGATATATTCTCCGTGCCTCTCTGTATTTTTTCTGGTGCAATGTAAATTTCTTGCATTCGTCGCAATTTTCTTGTGGCTCCTCCTTGGTGTGCCCCGTCTTGGTTTTGTGCACATCATATAATTCGCATGTCCAGCACTCTTCATGGCCTAACTTGACAAACGAAATGTTCATGCTGCTGATAACATTTCTATATAAACAATATGATATGTCAATGGCTGGGTGCTTTGCTAGGAAATCTTTATACATCATAGTAATGTTTATGTCGCTAGGTAGATATTTCCTGTTAGGTGCATGTTCTCGACGGTAATGTGCTATTCTAGGATTAAACGATTCAATATGTTTTATGATAATGTGCCTATCAATTTTAGTTGTTTTACTATGTTTGCCCCTTAAGTCGGGTTTTGCTACAAGACTTGATGTCGGAGTGTTGAGTACATCACGAATAAAACGATCGTTTTTAGGTTCATAACCAAGTGTGGCTAGAAAAAATGTTTTGCAGACAGTATGTATTGCACCCTGCTCGTCTTTTAAGTAGTAAATAAAGCCTTTGGAACGTCTTGAAACAGTTGCAGCATCTGTAGTTTTTCTTTTTATGCCAGTTTGAGCCGTAGTGTTTAAAATAAAATTTTTTCGCTCATTTTTATTCATTTCCCAAAATAGTCTATTAATGTCCTGTCGTCTAGGGTGGTCAATTTTTTGTATACACTTTTTTTGGCATTCTAATTTGCAAGGAAGTTTTAGATTATACACTTGTTTCTTTTTTTCTACCTTTAATCGTTTTCTTTCAGTCACACTTAAATCATAGCTCTTTCTTTTTCTAACAGTTCCTTTTTTTGTTAAACGATTTAAACATGATGTGTTCACAGATTCATTGATAATATCTGTAAGAATTCCTGAGATAAACTGTTGTGTTGAATTTGTTTCTTGGGTAGTTTCCATATACACGTTACTTAAAGCGAGAGGTTGAGATATATTAGTAACATCGCAAATTATGTCATCTGAGATTTCTGAGACAAATTATAACTAACAAAAAGAGACTGTTTTGTTTTATACGAGAACTCATTATCTTTACAGATGAAAGATTTTGAGATGAACTGAAACGTGAATAGGAAAGTTGAAGAACTGGCAAAGAGTTCAAACCTTCTATGCTAGTTCTTTGTCGCGGTTTGGTGTAATATCTATACCTAATAAACCAACAAGTTTTTTGGTGACTTTGATTATGGCGCACGAAGCTCCAAGCGAGTAGAAAAAGTGACTGTGGTTGGGAAATAAATTATTATATGTTATTACGAAACAATCTTTTCAACCTTTATTTTATCTTCAGCACACATTCTGTAATTATTACTTCTGTAACACGCAAAGGTGGCTATTTTTAACCGCCACATTAGAACGAGGTTCATGATCATTGACCGGACGAAGTCGCAAAAGTTTAAAGGAAAATTCATTCAGTAGTACAAGGTTGTGTGGGTACATTTCGTAATTATTTCTGCCATTTGAGGGGTGATATCCCCTTCCTGCCAATTTCGTGTTAACTTATTCATGAAAGTTAACATTTGTGTTCAAGATACCTTTACAAGTTGCGTGTTGGATTCCTCATCCATTTCAACTGGTTTTTGCAGGTGAAATAACATATTGGGAGCGCTCCAATTTAATAGCACATGCTTAGTTTTGTTTATAATAGAGGAAATAGAGATCATTACTATAAAATTTTTTTTTAAATTATAATATTTGAATGTGGGTAAAAAGTAAATATAAAATTCACAACCTTACTAAGCATATTTTGGTGAAGAAGCTTTGATTAACTTATTATACATAAGGTTCATTAAAAGAATGTACATAGAAAAATAAAAAAGTTCGATGCCGTTGTTAATTACACCCCTAGTGTAATCAAAAATATCACTTTCAATTATATTTAAACATTCTTGATTAAAGTGGGCTTTATAGTAAAGTAAATTATTTATTATTACCATTTTATTTATTTGTTTTTATTAACCTGAACTAATAATCCGTTAAAAATTTGCAAATAATAATTGGGTAGTTTCCATATACACGTTACTTAAAGCGAGAGGTTGAGATATATTAGTAACATCGCAAATTATGTCATCTGAGATTTCTGAGACACTTTCATGTGTAATTTCAATGTCACAGTCGTCCTCAGGGGATGAAGTATTGCTCCCACAGGATTTTGTTTCTACGACATTAGATATTATTTTTTTTAAAATGCAAACAACCATTTGTTTGGCATCTTCTGGTTTATGCATAATTTGCGCAATTGTAGTATTATTGCCCTGATCTAATTTGCCACTACAAATTTTAATATCGCTTAAAATATTAATTTTGTTTTTCTTAAATACTGCTTTATCTGTACTTTCATTACAACTACCTTTTTCAGTTGCTGCAGGTGAGACGGGCGACTTGCAATCTAAATCATATTCAGAACTATCTGATTCGGGGTCTGGATGGTATTCTGAATCAGAGTCCGTGTCAAAAAGGGCACTTTTCTTCTTTCGTCTCGCTTCTAACTTCATGTCGACAATTTTTTCGATTTGTTTTTTTATTTTTCATTGCAAGCATACAAAGTTTGTAACCTCGTGTTGATCTCTGAGCCATTTTTCAAAATCTGTAGTAATAAACAGGTATCAAGTTAGTAGTATTTAACTTTATTAATGCAATGAAAATAAAACACAATTACCTATCTACCTAATAACTATTATAATCACTTACCGCTCTCTAAACACAAACACTGATTTAACAAAACTCGTAAACAAGTAAATGTCTAAAGTCTAAACAAAACACCACTAAACGCGCACCAGTTACCTATGTTTTTAAGTTAGAAATGCAGATGACTCATGACAATTGTGAGGTTATAATATGCGTTCTTTTAGAAAGAAATGTCTAAGCGGGGTTCACATTTGTGCATTTTCATGCTGCATTTGATGGCGCATCAAGTTGCTGCATTTTTTCATGCGCGCGTAGCTATTCAGATTACTGCAATTTTTGATGCAATTACAAATATCACTAGTTAGGGAATTTACTTTTTGCCAACCCAGTTCTCCTCAATTGGCATTCTGGAGTAAAAAATAAAAGTGTTTTTCTTATAAATTTTTCCCTCAAAGTTCAAATACTTGAAGTATGGATGTGGAAGAAATTGTTCTAATAACACTTATAATTGGTGCATCTGCAGCTTTATTATTAAATCGTAAGAGACGGTGGTGGGTAAGACCATGGATTGAGCAACGGGAAACAAATAGTCAAGGCAATTCTAATTTGTTGCACAATGAATTAGCAGTGCTGGATAAAGAAAATTACAAGAATTTTATTAGAATGGATGAAGATACTTTCAATGATCTATTGAAACTTATTGAAAATGATATACAGAAACAGGACACTAAATTCAGGAATGCAATTTCGGCCAAAGACCGATTATCTGTTACATTGCGCTATCTAGCTACTGGCGAGTCTTATAAAAGTCTTTCCTTTTCATTTAGAATGGGACAATCAACAATTGCTGGAATAATCCCAGAAGTTTGCATTGCCATTTACAATAATTTAAAAAATCAGTATTTAAAGGTAGATACAGCTACACTCGACAATGAATAAAAATGATGTTTAACTAAATAATATTTTTAGATGCCTACTACAACCCAAGAATGGTTAAAAATTGCTAATGAATTTGAAGAAAGATGGAACTTGCCACATGTGTTAGGTGCATTAGATGGTAAACACGTTGTTATAAAAGCTCCCGCAAATGAAGGATCGTCATATTTTAATTATAAGCACACACACAGTATCGTACTATTGGCTTTGGTTGATGCCAATTATAGCTTTTTATATGTCGATGTGGGTAGAAATGGAAAAATTTCAGATGGGGGTGTATACAAGAATAGTTCACTTGCTGCAGCGATTGAAACAAACAAATTAAATTTTCCAGAGGAAAGACCATTGCCAGCGGGTACCAAACCAGTACCATATGTAATAGTTGCTGATGCAGCATTTCCATTATCCGGTCATATTTTAAAGCCGTTTCCATTTCGTAATATGACTTGGCAACAACGTATATTCAATTATCGCCTAAGCAGAGCACGAAGAGTTGTGGAGAACGCATTTGGGATATTAACAAATCGTTTTCGTGTATTATTGAACATTATAAGTTTGGACCCAAGTAAGGCCCAAACATTAACTCTAGCATGCATTGTGCTACATAATTTTTTGCGAACAAGGTCCCCAAATGGTTATGATGTTAAGGAACAGAACATTGATAGGCGATTCACATTTAAGTACACCTTAAGTCGACAAGCAGGCAACAGGTCAACTGCATCAGCACTTGATAATCGAAATGAATTTGTACAATATGTAAATGGTATAGGAGCAGTAGAATGGCAAAATGACTTAGCATAGCATTATTATTATCAATAAACAAATGTACAAAATAAAATCTAATCATATTGAGCATCAACAACTTTTGTAAATATCTCCTTCTTCAACATCCGTATTTTGTAAGGGTCTTCGACTTTCCTCAACTCTGTTGCGATTGTCCTACAACATAATAAAAATTGATAGTTTTTTTAATATTTATCACTGGCAACTTATTTAATTGCTATTTAAAACACTTACTTTGCAAATATATCAAATTCATCTTCAATGTGGGGCCTTTTTTTGCAACTTTCGAGGGATTGTACAGCGGTTTGGATTAGGTCTGCCACAGAGTTCTGCATTTTCCTCTTGCTTTTTGATACTGTAGGTGTAGTTGCCCTTGATGTCGATGTTTGTGAAGTGCATGGACTGTTATTGAAAGCATCAACTTCATATTCATCCAGGTCTTCCAGCGTGCCTTCAAACACAATATCCTCATCATATGTAACTGTAGTACCATTGGGCGTGAATATTTGGGTCTCCTTAAAATCAATTACAATGTGATTATTTTAAAAACCTTATAAATAAATACTTACTGATGGTTCAATATTTGATTGGCTTTCCCTCACTGGATCGCATTCGTTTAAAAACTGCAGCATGTCAAAACACCAAAGTTTCGGTTCGTAGGAATCTGCTGAACAACCACTGGACAAAAATTTTTTTAATAGTGCCACCTCTTTCTTAAATTGCGTCCGAATTACGTGTACTTTTTTAATTATGTCTTGGTCCGTTAAATTGCGGCACTCAACCTGATACTTTTTCATCAATTCATTTTTTATTGATTGTATTGCATTTTGCCGTTTCATTTTATTCTTATATTCTTTCATTTTCGTTGTATACAATAAGGGTTGCGCTTCGTACAAAATTATAAGGTCCTCCACTAAGGTACGCGACCATGGAAAAGCACGTATTTCACGGTTCATTTTTAACACTAAATAAAATAATTAACCCAATTCCAAACTGTTTAAAATTAAAATGTAAGGTTAAGAAACATAAACAGCCATGAGTCAACGAACTTTTCGTTGCAAACTTAATTCTAGCTATTGGCAAGAGAAATATTCCTAAAAATATTACTAAAGATGCGCCAAAAAATGCATACAAAATAGAACGTGGTCTAAAGCATGCATTTCCATGCGCATCAAAAATTGCAAGAAAAAATGCATAATGTGAAGGGGAAAAATGCAAGCATTTTAATGCCGCATCACAGTTGCAGCATGGAAATGCACAAATGTGAACCCCGCTTTATACATACGAATTTTTTAAAAGAGAATTAATTGTTTCACATAATTTTAAAACAAAAAGTCGTATCTACAGAAATTTATGTACATACGACATTATAGAGTAAAAATGTTCGATACGACGTTTTAGCCTCATATCAGAACTCTCTCATTTGATAATAAAATGTCGTATCTGCAACACTTCGTGTAGATACGACATTTTTAAATAAAATTA